TATAATCCCAGCACTTTGGGAGGCCGAGGCGGGTGGATCACGAGGTCAGGAGATCAAGACCATCCTGGCTAACACAGTGAAACCCCGTCTCTACTAAAATACAAAAAAAAATTAGCTGGGCGTGGTGGCAGGTGCCTGTAGTCCCAGCTACTCGGGAGGCTGAGGCAGCAGAATGGCATGAACCGGGAGGCGGAGTTTGCAGTGAGCCAAGATTGCGCCACTGCACTCCAGCCTGGGCGACAGAATGAGATACTGTCTCAAAAAAAAAAAGGAAAGGAAAGAAAAGAAAAGAATCTCAAAAAATACCTGATACTGCTAAGGGTCATAGTGCAAGGTCATCCTAAGTCCATCATCTAGTTAAAAGGTGAGGATAGTGAGTCACAGGAGAAAGAAACCAGCAAGATATTGGGTTGATGGGACAAAACAGGGCTAAAGAGTCAAGGAAAAGGCCAGATGCAGTGACTCACGCCTGTAATCCCAGCACTTTGGGAGGCCAAGGTAGGTAGATCGCTTGAGCTCAGGAATTTGAGACCATCCTGGGCAACATGGTACAACCCCATCTCTACCAAAAAATTAGCTGAACGTGGTGGCATGTGCCTGTGGTCCCAGCTACTCAGGAGGCTGAGGTGGGACGATCACTTGAGCCTGGGAGGCGGAGGTTGCAGTGAGCTGAGATTGCACCACTGCACTCCAGCCTGAGTGGCAGAGTGAGACTCTGTCTCAAAAAAAAGGAAAAAAAAAAATCAAGGAAAAAATCTAGGAATGACAGATTAGAGTAACAAACTAGGAATCTGAGGAAGTTACAAAAAACTGAAGGTAGAAAATCTGCCTGATCCTTCCCCATCCCTCTCTTTTAGATGAACTACCCCGGGCAGAGGGTCTGGGTGCCAGTGAGGCAGCTGAAAGGCTGGGCCGAGGTTGTATGTGGGATGTGGCTGGAGAAGATGGACGTCACTGGAGGGTGTTCCGAATCGGACCACGGGAGCAGCGTGTAGACATGACTGTCATTGAGCCCTATAAGAAAGTCCTGTCTCATGGAGGTAATGGCTAGCATAAATGGAGGGTAAGAGCTATGGCTTCTTAATAAAATGCCTAAGCTGGAGACTCAGTCATTGGATCCAAAATCTATCCTGTAACTTCCAAAGACCCTCAGAGTCCCTCAACTTAAACAGATATATTATCTATCAATACATATTTGTTGACCAAATGAATTTTCCCCTTATACTCTCCAGGTTACCACGGTGATGGCCTCAATGCTGTCATCCTTTTTGCTTCCTGTTATCTACCTAGAAGCAGCATCCCCAACTACACCTATGTCATGGAACACTTGTTTAGGTGAGGTGGAAGGCCTGAAGGGCTACAGGGCAGTGTTAGGGAGGGAAAAGTAAAAAAGAACTCCTTCAAAGATCAGTAGCTGATGGGAGAGTACAGTAATGTTCCTCTCACTCCCTGAAACCCCCAACACATACCTTCCCTGTAATTTCATCCCCCTAGGTATATGGTGGGAACTCTGGAGCTGCTAGTAGCTGAAAATTACCTGCTTGTTCATTTGAGTGGAGGCACAAGCAGGGCCCAAGTTCCACCTCTGAGCTGGATACGCCAGTGTTACCGTACCCTGGATCGGCGGTGAGACCTGGGATGTGAGGGCTACAACTGTCTATCTCATCTTTTTTTCCCACCTTTCTATTATTTCTTCTTCCATTTAGTCCTTTCCTATTGTCTTTGTCCTTCCACGTTCCTTTCCCAGCTCTTTTGTCTTCTGTCCTCTCTTGGAGTCAGGGAAATCTAGCTTCAAATCTTGCCATTACCACATTACCATTTACTAGCTATATGGCTTTGGACAAGTCACTTAACCTCCCTGGGCTTCAGCTTCAGCTGGCTGTGTTATCCAGACTGGAGTACAGTGGCATGATCTCGGCTCATTGCCACCTCTGCCTGCCAGGCTCAAGCGATCCTCCCACCTCAGCCTCCCAAGTAACTGGGACTACAGGCATGGGCCACCATGCCCGGCTAACTTTTGTATTTTTTGTAGAGATGGAGTTTCACCATTTTGCCCAGGCTGGTCTCAAACTCCTGAGCTCAAGTGATCTGCCCGCCTCCACCTCCCAAAGTGCTGGGATTATAGGCATGAGCCACTGCACCTGGCCACTTTAGCTTCTTTATCTGTAAAATGGCAATGATTATACTTTTGCCACTGGGTATTTGTGAAAAGCAATTAAATTAGTGTGGCATATTGCCTGGCACACAGAAAGCACTCTTCTCTTCTCTCAGTCTTGCTATTTATTTCCCTTTCCATACCTCCATTATCTTCTTCTCTGCCTTCATCACTGACCTATGTGTCTTCTCTGTCACCAGGCTGTAGTGCACTGGTGCGATCATGGCTCACTGGAACCTCTGCCTCCCTGGCTCAAGCCACTCTCCCACCTCAGCCTTCCAAGTAGCTGGGAGTACAGGCATGCGCCACCACCATGCCTAGCTAATTTTTGTATTTTTTTGTTGTTGCTGTTAGAGACAGGGTTTTGCCATGTTTCTCAGGCCAGTCTTGAACTCCTGAGCTCAGGTGATCTGCCTGCCTCAGCCTCCCAAAGTGCTGGGATTACAGGCGTGAGACACTGTCCCTGGCCCTATGTCTTCTTTTCCTTCTCAGGATTTTTTTTTCCCCTTTTGTTTCCCCCATCTCCCTTTGCTCACTTTTCTCTTCTTGCCCCCTTTCCTTTTTTTGTCCTTGCTGGTCTTCTTCCACCTAGAGTTTTATAAGTAATCTTGGTCATGGAGCGATGCAAAAGCATGCAAAAGGAACTTACACAAGGGTAGGGCACAAGAGGGAAATGGAGCAGAAAAAGACTAGGTGGCTGGGCATGGTGGCTCATGTCTGTAATCCCAGCACTTTGGAAGGCCGAGGTGGGCGGATCACAAGGTGAGGAGTTCAAGACCAGCCTGGCCAACATGGTGACAAGTCACCATCTCTACTAAAAATATATAAAAATTAGCTGGGCATGGTGGCATGTGCCTATAATCCCAGCTTCTTGGGAGGCTGAGGCAGAAGAATTGATTGAAACCGGAAGGTGGAGGGTTGCAGTGAGCCGAGATCACACCACTGCACTCCAGCCTGGCGACAGAGCGAGATTCCGTCCCAAAAAAAAAAAAAAAAAAA